ATGCTGGGCAGAATTCAGAAGAACATGAGCGATATTTTAATAAAGAACGAGAAAGTAATCGAATGAGAAAGCGAGCTGGCAAAATATAGAGCGTCGCAGATTTATCTGATCGAATTTAAAAAAAAGTTGAAATGTAAAATTTGTGCTTAATATTTTTGAATCGTATGTACTAGATTCAGCAAAGGATGCCATAAAATTGGCCTAAAGAATTATTTACTGCTGCTAAAAATGTTGTTTAGCTACATATATAGTACAATATGATTAGAATCATTTATGTTGCTTGTTTCTAGCTTGGCTGCGATCCAAAGACTCCTTCATTTGTTTGATACAAAAAGGTACTTAATATATTATGTACCAGCGACTCAAAATCTTAGTTGCTAAAGCCCGCAAAATCAAATGCACACATACCATAAAGCGTTTAATTTTGAATGGGATAAATAAGAAATACCTGCGCCTTCTAATTAGCAAATTTCCTTAATAAGGAATCTCAAACCTAATAACCTCCATTTAAAGGCATCCAATTCGAATTAAAAATTGATTATTTTTTAATTTTATACTTCAAACTGCATATCTGATGTTTGTTTTTACAAACCGCAACAACGCACTATGGGTAATTTGACCAATTTTGTGAACAAAATTAATTATGACACAGCAACCTATTTTTTTTTTAATGTTTGGCACGCGATTCCCCACATTTTTGCAAAAAAAAATCTCGACACTTGACGATCGATGGGCAAACAGAAGTCACTTTTTAATTTTCGGTTTCATTGAACATGTTTGAACCTTTTTTCAAAATATTTATTTTAAAATTCATGCCGTGGCCAATTAAAAAAAATTTCCAAATTATATCATACGTAATACATACGTGCATTAGGGTGGTCCAAAAACAGTAAAGTCGAAATTGTAATGCTCTCACCCCTAGGATTTTTGTATATCGAAAAAAGGTATGCCCGTATTTTTTTTTTATTTTGAAATCAAAAGATATTTAAAGATAAATATTTTTTGATTTCAAAATAAAAAAATAAGAGTTTATATTTTTTTTCGGTATAGAACAATCCCAGGGGTTGGGAGCATAAAAATTCCGACTTTACTTTTTCACATGCATTTTTGGACCACCCAAATGTGCATTAAAGCTCTGGATTTCCAAATTTCTCTGCTGAAAAATTAAAAGGAGCAGCCTTTGCAACAAAGAAATCGTAAACAGCCTTTTGTTTCCTCTGTCTACAAAGAAAGCTAGTTTCTTAGAAAACTCGGTTAAATATTAAGATTATATATAAATTTTTAACTTAAATATGGCTGGTCGAAAACAGCTAAAAAGCAGAACACAAAATCGATTACAATATTTGACTCGCAGACAACGACTTTCACCACCTGCGAGGCAGTTGTGTTTTTTTTTTTACAAAAACAAAAGACGCCGTTATATGGTTTGAAGTTTCCTTTATCAAATACCAGTCACAATAGTTTATTTTTGGAAGTACGAAAAACGACTTTTGGCCACATAAATTGATCAAATTACCCATAGTGCAAGGTATAGTTGTCAATGCTTGAGACATATTACACCAACTCCTTATTTTATGCTCGACCATGAAAACTCAATACTAAACCTACATTATGTACGTGTCTCTTACAGCCAAATTTAATTTAGAATTAAAAAAAAATGCATTCCTGAAACTCGTAAAAAGTATACAGCACATACGTAAGCTAATAACTAAGCCAAATCTGAGTTAAATATAAAAAAAAAATAATCGCATTCCAATTTTAACGCTGAGCCAATCCATTTGGGCATGCAAATTTCAAAACTTTGCTTTAGTATAGGCATTGCCGACTAACTGCTTGAATACAAATACAAAATAGCATTCCATTTCAATACGAAAATTTCTTAGAAAAAACTCGAGCATGCTTTCCGAAAAATTCAACAAATATTTATTATACTTATGTACTCGTCTGACTGACTGTATTTTTAATTAAAGTTCTCTGTAACATTTTGCGGACACCTTACCTTAATATCACCACCGCCTGGAGTATGCTTGACATTATCCTTTGAACCGACTTTTGGTTTAGCCTTATCTTTGAAGTCCGTTTTAATCGTTTCGATCTTCTTATCACCGCCACCTGGCTTATGATTGGCATTCTCCAAAGAGCCTATTTTCGACTTGGCATTCCATTGTAGCTTTGTCGATATAATCTGTGTTGCCCGTAATATTGCAAATTAATTTAAAATAACTGTTGTTTATGATACATTTAAATGTGTATAAATAGTTGAAATGTATGTATTTATGTATGTATTTAAGTACTAGGGCGGTCCTTAAAAATATCAACATCTACACTTTTTATAGTGCACCCGTTTATTTTGTTCTATACGCAAAACAAAGACAACCGCGAAAATTTCAAAATTGTAAAAAAATGTAGAGGTCGCTACCAGCGTTTTGAAAAATTTTAATTTTTTTAAACAACAAAAAAATCTACTTTTTCAAACCCTGGTAGCCATGATGTAATAATGGTGAAGGTGGCAGCTTGTTTCGGCTCAAGGTTGTATTTGGTAAGCTTACGACGCACAAGAGAAAGTGGCAGAAAACAGGTCGTTTGGCGAAATAGTACTAAATTTAGTACTAATTTTCAAAACGCCGATTTTGGATAATTTTTATGAAAATGTTGTATAAACATAAGCAAAATGATATATGTATCTCACATCAGATTTAAAACATCAGATTTTTTATATTTATTAAGTTTCATGTATTGTATTTTGACATCAATATTTATATGTACTGAAAAATGTATTTAATTAACCTTTCTCTTCGTATAAAAGTAATAACTCAAAATTTGTGAATGACCATTCGCTGTAATATAAAAAGTAGTTTCTCAAAGAGACAAATCGAATATTTCTAAGTGAGCTTATGTTGGCGATTAAAGCGAGATGAACGTGAATCTATAACCCCCTTTTTTTTGCATCATGCCTTGTAGCGGCCTCTAATTTTTATTTTTTTATTTTGAAATTGTCGTGGATGTCTTTATTTTGTACATAGAACAATTATTGATATTTTTAAGCACCACTCTGGCAAGTATAATATATAGTGTATTGATATGGTATTTTTTTGTTTTCTGTTTTTTTTTTTCGCTATGTAACCTGAATTGGGATTGGAAATTGAAGATCGCCGCAGATGTTGCGATCGATCAATGTATGTTTCTAACCTCAAAAGTTGAGCTCGGAGAAATTTAAGAGCCAAAATTATATCAAAAAAATCATTAGCGATTTTTGTTATTAATGCTTGTATTTGCTTCCGTAAACTATGTACATGTGTATTTCAGTTTTTTAGTTTTCTTTGTCTTGTTTAAGGTTTTTGTTTTTTTGTATATATGGAGCGGAGCGCAGATACATGAAATAAATCGACCGTTAAAGTAGTGTACTACAAATGTTTAATGGTGTCTGAAATCATAACGCAACAATCGGCGAACTACTGAACTGTGAAATTGCCTCATCACAATAAGTCTACCAAAAATTTATAATAAAAAATTATTTTAAACATCTACGCGAAAAAAGTGAAGAATTTCACAAATTAAAGCATCGTAGACTATAACTATTTGCACATGTGGGATTGTTTATCCTGTGTGTATTCAATACTTAGAGTGAGCTCAATACTACATACTTTAGTGTGATTATGCTTTAAAGACTACTCAAAATAGTTACACCTACATACGTAAGTGTTTAAATGCAAGTAAATATTATTAATTAAGACAAATTGTGAAAATTTGTTTTATTTTTAAATTAATTTCAAATATGTTGAAAAGCTTAGACCCGTTTAATGTCTTGCTTTAAAATATATTTCATATACTTATTTAAATTTTATTTCCAACCTCCTAATCTTACCTTCTTTTCGCCACCACGTGGCGTATACTTGTCATTTTTCGCCTCAATTCTGGGTGCGGCTTTTATTTCGATCTTCTTACTCTCGATTTTAACATTACCTCCACCGGGCTTGTAACCAGCATTGTCAAGCGAACCGATTTTAGAACGCACCGCTTTGAGATTGGGTGAAGGAGCGTGTCCGACTTGAATTTTGTTCATTGATACTGTCAAAGAAAGCATTAAGTTTATTTATTTTTTATAGTTTTAAGATTTGAAAGTATATAGGGTCAACTTATATGGGGAATACTGAATAAAATAAAACAAATATAACCGTATACGTTAAAAGAAGCACTAATTATTTTTAAATGGTACAGACTTTTAATTATAGATTCCCAATCCAAACAAAAATGCTTTTTTCTTTACCAAGCAGGTTTTAGTTGCAGTGTAATGTTGCTGTACCCAAAGAGAAGTTTCTAGGGCTGGATTCTGTAACTGTGGGAAAATGCAGTGTACCTAGCCCGAGTGCAAAATTCACAACCAAAAACTCACGAAATAAAATCCAATTCCCATATAACGGTATTTTCGAAAAATGTAAAAACTACGATATCTCAGTAAATATGTACAATCTAAATTGTTGAAAATTAATATGTGAAGTATAATTATGGTAAAAAATAATATTATGAAATTTTTGGAAAATGGGCGTGACTCCCCCCACTTATGATGAAATGCTGTATCTCAGTAGCCGCTTAACCAATCCTTACCAAAATCGGTCCGAGCCTTGCTTAGGGTCTACTAGAAAGTCTTTTGAAAATCTTTGAAATCGGGCAATAACCACGCCCACCTCCCATAAAACATGAAAACTACGATAAATTAGTAACTATTGAAGCAAATTCACTCAAAATCAATGATTGCAACAATCACTTCGCAAAAAATTTTAATAGTATACATTTTTGGATAAATAATGGGCTTGGCCCCGCCCTCTTATGACCACAAATGTGTATCTCGGTAACGTATTTATCAAATTCAACCAAAATTGATGCACCTTGTAACCTTGGTACGCAAAGGCAATTTTCTGAAAATTATTCAAATCCGACTAAAATTACACTTCCTTCCCTTCCCTTCCTTCCTTCCTAAATTTCTAAAATATGAAAACTGCGATATGTATTTCAAAAACTGAGGACACTTATTTGCCCCATGCTAATATGTACTTACAACAATCTCTTAACAATAAATAAGACTGTTATAGACTTTTAGAAATTGGGCGTGGCACCGCACACTTTATGACTAGAAAGGTCTATCTCGGTAACCGCTTTATCGATTTCTACCAAACTTCTTGGTTCAATGATTTCATTAAGTCAGCATATTATTGAAAAAAATCGGGAAAAACACCCCTGCTTATCATGCAAAGACGATATTTTATACCTGCGCCGGGTATATAAAATTCGGTATCGCCTGAACTCATACTTCTCCTACTTGTCTTAAGTTAGGTTAGTACCCCCAAAATCCGTTTTCGTGAAACATTTTACCACCAAGTCTTACACCCTTACTTCTGCCGTTCACGTTAAATTTTGAGCTTTGGTGCATTTAGAAACGTAAAGTAGAATTTTGAAAATATTTTTGTGTATTCGGGGGTTTTTTGTATGAAAACTGTACTAAATATTTGTTGGATCGCAAAAATAATTTCAAATTCGGATTCCTCGCACCGAAAAACGTTCCGAACGAATTTTCAGAGCAATCGAAAATCGTAAAATTTCGGTCAAAAACGGGTCCCGCCTAAAAATTTGAATTTGATATTACTCGATTAAATGACCTAACCTAAAAAATGACTATCACCACTGAATTGAAAATACTCGAATTGAGTTTACTAGGTAGGCCGTCGGGATTATTCATTTTTTTGACTAGCGCAGTGTAATCAACCAGATACGTGGACGATATTGAACAAAGAGGATACGACTTTTGGGAGCTTTCGAGAGAACTATACATTTTGTGCAAAAACTAATAATACATAAGTATATCATATCATGGCTCAACAAAAAAAAAAAAATTTTGTGCCACAGCCAATAAGCAATGTTTCTTATAAGATTTGTTTCCGAAGCATCAAAATTTAAATTTCAAATTTTTAATTTGGCTTTAGTTTATAAGATATTTGGCATTTTCTACTACAACTCACACCTATGGCGGCACGTATAAAACAATTATGTAATTGATAAAAAAAAGTTAGGAAAATCTCTTCGTTAAATTTGCAAACTTTGTTGAACCGACTTCAATTTGTCGGAAATTTTTTCTTTCTTTTTCGTTTATGCTAACGGATAATTTTGAACCATGTGAACCATTTTCGATCATTCTTTTTTTATCGGAAAAGTGGTAACTCAAGGTTGGTTCCACACTTATCTGCTTTAGTTCCGTACATTGTATCATGAAGAAACTAACAGTTTTTAGTTTTTTTGCTTTGTATTTCGGGAATCTTACTTAGTTTTTTTTCGTTTTGGGCTCAAGTGCCAAAAATTAGGCTTTCCTTTTGTCTATTAAGAGGACTACGTGTCGATATTCTACAGATGTAGTTAAAAAATACTAAATATTGTCTTTTGACACTATAAATCTGGACTATCCTGAAAACTAATTCGAAGGTCAGTTTCTTATTCTGTGAAAGAAGTCCTATAAGAATGATATATCTGTCGCAAACATTTCTTGGCCAAGCGCCAGTTTTATGAGTATTTCTAATAAAATGACAGTATGTATAGTTGTGTTTAAGCTCACAAAGAATTCGTCTAAAAAAAACTGCAACATTTCCATATGCAATATATACCAAATGCATTAGACCACCTTTCCACCCTTCTAAATTCGAGGAAAATATTTTTTTTATTGAAAAACGCAACAATATGAACTACAAAGTCGGGGATGCTCTATCTTTTGGTCGGTTTCGACCGTAAGTGGGAAAAATACTTTTTCCAGAAATAAATTTCCGACAAAAGTTATGTATTTTTGTACTATATATACTTTAATTTTTTTTTAACTTCTACATTAGGCATTTTGTTGTAAGTGCGTACCTACATACGTATATGTTATGATCCAACTTACCTTTTTTAACTGGCTCCGGTTCGGGAGTCTTCAACAGCAAACGATTTCTAGATGTGGAACGTGATTTGGACGATTTGTTCGATGGTGTGGCGCTAGGTGGGCGAGAGGCGGCTCCTTTGTCTCCCTTCGAAGTGGTGGATGTTGGTGTCTTGGCCGGTGAGCTGGGTGAACCGGGTCCGTTGCGTTCCTAAATTAATAAGAATAAATAAATAAAATTATACGGTAATAATTAGGTTTATGTCCATGTGTCCATGTATGTATGTGTAAGTGGGTACGTATTTTTCCCATTTCGATGCCTTATATGTTTTATTATAATTGAAAAATTCGTGTCAGCTATAATCACCAAATGCATTTTTTCACGCATTGCAAATTTTATACAATAGTCAAATTGCTTTTATTATTATTTTTATTTATTTTTTTGTATTATTTTTATTATAGTACACTCTTAGCGTTCGATTTGCAAATTATTTCGACTTATTTCGCTACACCGCGCTTGTACACTTCGACATTTCGACTAATTTGAGCATTATGACTTCAAAGGACGAATGTGATTTTGCTTGGAATTCTTTCACATTGTTTTATCGATTCAACTCGACGCAAAGTGTACCACTTTTGGTATTTTTAGTGTAAAAGACAGTTGAATCAAAAAAAAAATACTCGTATCATGCAAAACAGGTAAAAGAAAAACTACAATACGAGCAACAACAGCAAAAAAAAAGACAAGGAAACCTGCGAAAACATAAATAATATGCCCACACCCTTGGCGCATCAAGGCTGATTTTGGCGCTGGCGTTGTTGGCCCTTTCCAGCTGGCACAGATACTTGTACGGACGATTGCACTCCTCTGCCCAATTACGATGTTTCGTTTCCTTTCATTCTCATCGATAAACATTTGTTCTAAATTATCTTTTATGAACTTTGGTTGGCTTATTTGATTAGCTGCTTTGTTTTATGCATATTCATGCTTCTTTATTCGCGTTTTGGTGAGTTTTGTTTTTGTTTTTTTTTTTTGTTTGCACACAAAAGTAATTCTTTGCCATTAGTTGTACATACTTTCACATATTTCAACGTAAAGTTTCTTGACTCCAATTTTATTTTAGTATGTGAACCTCATACACATATCCTTGGCGTGTCATTGGCAAGGTAAAAAAGTATCTGCACACACACATACTGCCTCATATCACAAAAAACAGCTGTTGGTTTTTTACACACCTGTTCAAGCGATAACTTATACCCGTATCGATATATTGATAAGCTTCGAGTATTAATGGTAAAATATGTTGGCAAATATTTTTAAAATCTACTGCACAGCAATAATGAAATGTTGTAGTATGGCTGTTTTGGTTGTATCACTGAGATCGCTCGTTTGGGACTGAGTTGTGGAAATTGACTTGGCGAAAATTTTCAGCTACTAAATTCCAGTCTAAGCATCGACTCAGCTGCATATGTCAATGAGGGCAGGTCATTGAGACACGGATGCGTTACCTACTGCGTACATACGTACATACGTACATACATTTGTATAGCGAAGCTAGCCAAACTGTAGTAGCTATGTGTCGTATGTGGGCGGGTTCGCCACTGAAGCGTGGCGCCATATCAAAGTTGAGCTACATCTTTCAAGAATCGTTCGTGTTCATAGCAATTATGAGCAAAATGTCGTTCGAAAAGTTCAGTTTCAAAAAAGACACACAACTATGCACATATATAAAGGTACATAACGTCGTTTAAAGTACAAAACAGCGTATCCTACATTCTGCAAAACCGCGTAATTGACATTTGCTGCCAAAAATTGGATTTGCTCATACAAGCTCTTGGCTCAATCCTTATCCATTCGTCCTGAAATATACTAGCGATTGCTTTATAAAAAAAGGGAACCATTTTGAAATGTAAGAGTTTTTAATGCTCTAGAAAATATTTTATGCAACCTCGCATACGCGGTTTTGCATTTTGTTGATACGCGGTTTTGTACTTTAAACGACGATATGTATGCACATATGCGTAGGTCGTTGTCTTTATTATGTCGTCCATACATTCAAACAGAAGTAGCTATGCGTATTACCCGCTTTTCTTTTGAATTTATTTTCTTTTTTCACATTTAGATTTTATTCCGCTTGCCTTTTATGGCTTTATTACAAAAGGCAAAGAAATTAATTGAAAATCGTTTTGTTTCCTGTGTGCGCGCGATTGCCCCGTGAACAGTTAAGATTGTTGCACCACATCTATTTTTGCAACCGAATAACCACGGTATATTTTCGAAAGACTACTTCATGGTTATCATTTTCGCTGAACCGAATTCTCATGGTCGCTCAAATTATAATTTCTGCAAATGGCGGCATCGGATCGTTATACTCCACAAGAAATAAAATGTCATAAATCATATTTATCAATCGAAGTTATGTACTACCGTCCCAGTTTTCAAATATATAATTCAGGTTACATTGTTCGGTCATGTAACAAATGACAACATGGGTTCTTCCGGGCACAGCAACCTATGCGATTTTAGCCTTTTTAACTAATGTAATGTAATAAATGCTTCGAAAAGCCGCGTGCAATTGGCGTTACAGTGACTCAGACAAGTATTCACGTGTTAATTATTATAAATGTTTTTCAAGATAAATTTCTTTGGTTATTTGCAAGTTTCGACCGGGTAAAAAGTCCCGTTGATTTTTGAAATTTCTTTAGTGACTGCTTTTGCGATTTTTTTTTATAACAGGTGGAATTTATTAAAACCTGGCGTTGATTTTTTTTAATTTTGTTGCCAACAGTGTACCGCATAGGAAACTCGTGCTTATATGGAATTTTTTTTTAAATCAACGTGATTTTTTAAACGTTTGAAACTTATATTTCATGAGCCTAAATTTGTATGGGCTGCATACCCAAAAACGTTGTGAGGATTCAGATTTTGATAAAAATTTGTTGTATTTTTCATAAATTTTTTATAAAGCTTGAAACTTTGATTTAAATGTCTGTCGAATATAGGACTTGTTTCGAACTATTGAAAAGGTAATGCAGCGGGGCATAATTTCCACTTTCTAGGACACCGCTGTCATTTACAGGCCTATTATGCTTGTTACCGAACATTTTGACATCGAGAAATTTAAATACCTAAAAATGACACCATTTCTTGTAAAAGCAATTCTAGATAACTTGGTAACGTTTTAGTTTATACTGCTTTGAAGTTCTGCAGATATTCTGGTATTGCATATTTCACAGGGCAATATGGTAACATGACAGAAGATCTTCTTCTTTTATAATGTACATATGTATATGCAGTCATCTGAAAAATAATAGGGACACAACATTTTTTCCAGTTTCGGCTTTTTCCCTTTGTTTGTTAAATGTTTATTATTATTTTTTTAATAAAAATACAGCTCACTATCTGTCAAAAACTATATAAGTGCAAATTTCAAACTTTGCAGAAAAATTCAAGAAAATCTTATAACCCATCAACAGAAGAAAGTGAAAGTTTCAAGTGACTAGAATACGCGTAAATTTTTGATAATTTTTTTTTTGCGGATAATGTTATTATTTTCTTCCATACAAAAAAAAAATCGAACATATCGCTCATTTACTTCAATAGCGTCATGATCAAAAAAGTACAATTATTGAGCTAAGTATGCAGAAATTATCACTACCTCTTCTTCTATGTTGTGTAAGGATTTCATAGCAGTGCCGATTACCAGTATCTCACTAGAACAAAATATGTATTCATTTCAGATTTAGACTTGTGAGATATCATTGGAAAGGAATTTTATCACCCTTTTTATTTCTTTGCTAATAAACTCATTCAAAGGATGAAAGAGAAAGGTAGGATGAACGAATATCATCCAAAGTTGAATTAAAATGTGTTGGTATTTAAAAAAAAAAAAATATTGGGAAACGAATGACTTTTTTTGCACATAAATAAAAATAGTGGGAAAGTGGGAAGAAAGGTATTTCTACCAAAATCCCATAAGTGTAAATCAGAATAGTTTTCGCCCAGTTATTTAAGTTTTTCGTAAATAAATCTTTGAAAAAAGTAAAAAAAAACAGCATCAAAAATCTCATTATAACGATTCCGTTGAAAAGATTTTTAAATATCTTTATGCAAATCTTTTAAGCCTAATCTGCTTTGTCATCTGCGGCGACTTTTTTCAAAAAGTTCTTTAAGAAACTATTTTTATTCATGTGAAAATCCATTTTTGGAGGTATTTTCGAATCGGTGCAGCTCACTTAAATCTTAGTACTTTTCCGAAATATTTTGGTGGACATCTTAAAATATAATAAATTTTGTAATCCCGGCGGAAAAACCGCAACTTTTTTTGGTGATGCAGTCTAATGTACATGTATATATAACATCTCTGCTAGTTTGTATGGAAGAAAATGCGTGACAACACCAGGGGGAAAAAATTATAAAAATCAACACGATTTCCTAGCCACTTAAAATATGCACTTTTTGAATCTAAAATTTAATGCTTACTTAAAAAGTTGGTTCTTTTTGTAAAATTTTATTGAGTTTTTCTAATTTTTCCCTAAGATTTGAAGTTTGGACTTACGTGGTTTTATTAGACAATGAACTGTATTTTTATAAAAAAATAGACACTAAACTAACAAAGAAGAATAGCCACAACTGGTCAAAATGGTCTGTTCCTATTATTTTTCACATGACTATAGATTGACACATTAATAGCCAGTTTCACATTTAAATGAAAAATGTTTGTCCCATTAGTTTCCATATAAAATCCAATAAAACAAAATATTTTTCACTTAAATTACTTTCGTGCAAGTGGCGATATGTTAAACTTTGGGCAAATAAAATAAAACTCTGGGCAAATAAAATTAAACTTTGGAAATATAAAATTAAACTCTACTTTAGTACTAAACAGTGTTTGAAAAACTGGTACTTTACATCGGCAACATTCCACTCTCTTTTTAATTTACAGCAAGGTTAAAATTGGAAATTTTTGCGTAATAATTCCGAGAGCTAGGCCAAAATCAATCTTTTGCACGCCATGTTCGGTAATCGTGTTATCAGCCGTCCCGGCGATGTTCATTGGCCATCTCGGAGCTGCAATTTGTGGCCGTTACAATTTTTTGTGGGGTGGCTTGAAGGACCAATTTAATGCGAATAATCCATTTACGATTCAGGTCCTTAAGGCGAATATTGTGCAAGCCACTCGTTAGATAGAGCCAGACATCGTCACCAATATCTTGGAAAACTGGGTTAACGAAATTATGTTCCATATAAGTAACACAGGATACTGATTCCGATGCGGCAAATGTTAAACATGTTTTTGAGAGACTCCTTGGACCGTGGATAAAGTTTCAGTAAATCACTTCTTTTACAATATTTGAGAAGCTCTAGCAAAGAAACAAAATGTGATAAAACCTTAAAAGCTAGGACTCCCGAACTGCACCTTGTCCTGATGGTCACTTGTACTTCTACTTACTACGCAAATTATTTACTTTAATCGAAATTTTCGGTATAAATTAAATTCAAGGGAGAAAACTCGCTGAACCAATACACTTACACACATATATGCCAGACTGGTTCGTAATATCACCAACGCTTATATTTTCGCCTTACTATATATGGCAATTCAAATTTCCGTTTAACCAATTCACCTTTCTTTCTAAATACCACAAAAATGTTTATTGGGTTTAGCCCTAACTGGTTTATAATTTTTTAACTAACGATTTCGTATTCTCCAGCTGACACAAATAAGCAAAATAAATTACAACCAGCTCTTATATGTTTGTACATATACATATGTATGTACGTAGACTTAACTAAAATTAACTCACCTTCTCCTGAGTAGATTCATCAACGCCACTGTCGTTGTCACCTTCTGAAATTAAACGAAAGGTTACAATTTGTGTTTAAATTAATGTGAGAAATCAAATGAAAAGCCTCAAGCAGTTTGGTTTCAATACTTGCAATGCCCCACCCATAAACTGATAGCTTTCCAAGAGCATAATACATATTGATATGTATATATGTACATAAGTATAAGTAAATATTTATATAGTATGTAGATAAATAAAATACTCTTCAAAATTGTTTGTATTGTTGTATTCTTACTGTGATCACCACTTTTCTGCTTCCGTCCATTCTCCACGCCGCTGCTTAACATTTCCTGTATGCTCGACAATGTTTTCACGCCGTTCGCTTTCACCTCGGCTATTGGTGTCAGCGTCTCGCCCATGCCAAATGCATCTTTGATTGAGTTCGTTTTAACTTCCGCCACCGCTGGTCCCATCGGATCCTCATTTGCACTCAACGTCTTACGCGGTGTTATCGCTTGACCCACCACCACATCATCATCATCTTCATTGTTGTTCGAACTGGCCGATGGAGGGCGTGGTGGTAACTGTACGGGAGATTGTTGGTATGGTTGTTGCTGTGGTTGCTGTTGTGGTAGCTGTTGCTGCTGCTGTTGCTGTTGCGGTTGCGGTTGCAGTTGCTGATAGGGCGGTCGTTGTAGTGGTTGTTGTTGTGCACCCACTTGCGGAACGCCAGGCGGACGTGCAAATGGCGGACGCGTAGGTGGATTGCCAGGATAGGGATTTTGTGGACGATTCGCTGGCATTTGTTGACCAGGTGGTGCACCGGACCAAGGATATGCAGCGGGCGGGCGTTGTTGACCTTGCCCAGGTGGACTCATTGGACCGCCATTTGCGCTAGGTGGACGCATTTGCAGGTTTTGCAGCGGTGGCGGTGGCGGACGTTGCCCGCTGCCAGGGCCACCAATGCCCATCAGCAGATTTCCCCTGCTATCTGTATTACGCAATGGAGGTGGCATTGATCTTGGTGGAGGACCACCACCAGGAGTACCGCCCATGTTCATGGGAGCGCGAGGTGGCCCTGCCATCGGCCGTGGGGGCATGCCGCCGCCAGGAAATGGTGGGCGAGGTCCACTGACAGGTGGCGGTCGCATCTGCATTTTCACAATTTGAATAAATTTCAGTTCGCGCGGCAAAAATAATATGTATGTATGTATGTACATATGTATGTGCGCGCGTAAGCATGTATGAACACCAGGATGCCGCGCAAAAACAAGTTGCTGCTTGTACAAACGAGTTATAAAACTTGAACAGTCTCTCTTAAATATTTAATTTCAACATGTTGCCACCTTGTTCTGTGCTTTTCCACGTCGTGAACAGAGTACAACTTTTTCGTAAACAATTTGAGGAACTTAACCAGGGAGCGATAACGCGCTCCAACTAAATAGGAACAAAAGTATTGAGAGCAGTTTGAGCGGGAACAAAATAAGAACAAAAGGCCCGAGAACGCGCCCGTAAAGTACAAAATTGCGAACGAAACTCTCGGGAACGTTATTAAAAAGAACAAAATGAAAACAAAACTCTAAAGAACATACTCTATAAGAACATAATGAGAACGAAAGTATCGAGAACATTTTCAAGTGAGACCGAATAAGAGCAAAAGTCTGTTAGAGAACAAAACGAGAACAGAAGCTTTGAGTACTTAACGTTAAGAATGAGAAGGGCGTCTGCATGGTGGGATGAAAAATCGTTTCAGGGAGTACTATGACTGTTAATTCTAAGCCAGAGGAATCATTTTAACTTCCAGCTCGTTTATTATTAGGTTGAACAGTCCATGTATGGAACCATTTTTCATTTTATGTGCAAGCAAAATTCGTGTCTTAGGCCTTTCGTTGACTTAATTTGCATAATTCTCTTAAATTTTATTTTTTTAGATTATTAGTACTATTCAAATATTTCAAACTAACGTAGCGCTATGAGAAATATTTTTCACGTTTCGTTCTCAGTCAGAAACTTCTTGAGACTTGATTCCCCAAATCGTTCTTCGAGAGAAAGTTCCTTGGCCCGTTTGTTCCCGTTTTGTTCTTTGTCAGAACGTTGCGGAGACTTTTGTCCCCACTTTGTTCTCTTAGAAATGTTCCCAAAAGTATTGCTTGGATTTGGTTTTCTTTGAGAATGTTTCACATGGTTTTGTTGTTATATAATTCCCGTTAAGAACGTTCTCGACAATTTTTTTCTCACGTTCGATTTTGTAAAAATACCCTGGAGGGTTTTGTTCTCATTTGGGTTAGGGTTTTGTAGCGTTCTTGGGAACAAAACTTAGAGAACGACATTAAGTTTCCGGGGTGTGCATAGCTCAGTGGTTAACGCATCTGACTTTGCACATCGATGATGCGGGTTCGATCCCTGCTGAAGTCTAGAAAAAGAACTCTGATGAGGAGATGTGATGATCTCCGAAATATCTCTCTGCTATAACTTCTACTGCCTAGAATGTCCTGGTTGCTTTTTCCATTTTACCTAATAAACAAAATCGTGGCACAAAGCTCAATAACAACATTAAAAATAAAATGTTAATAAGCCACAATAACATTGACGACGACATTAAGTTTAGATCGTTCCTTTTGTTCTCGGTCCCCAAATTTAACACATATTTCATGGGAAAAAACTTTTAGATGAATTTGACAATTTTTTCATGTAAAATGGGTACCGAGTACTATGCAAAAAGCAAATATTCATAGGAACTTCTAACTAAAAATTATAGTATTTGTCAATGTTTTTGTGGCTTGTTAATATTTAATTTTAATATGTTTACTAAGCTTTGTACCACGATTATTTTATTAGGGAAAATGCTTTGCTTTTTGTTTTGAGTTGCAAACTCGCTCGTTCTCTGTCTAATAATAATCAGACTTTTCCGAAAACTAACTTTGCTCATGCCCGATGTATCTCGGAATAGCATTTGTTTCAAATCCATATAAATACCTTAAAAAAATCAAGCTATTCATACGTACATATTCCTTCTTTTTTTGTGAAAAATAAATACTTCTAAATTTTTTGGTTTATGAATGAACAGTGGAATCACATTATTTCATTAACGAGTTTCTGGTAATTTGTATTAAAATTAAAAATATATTTAACTTTTCGGCAGTTTTTGAATAAAAAAAATGCATATCTTTCACTTTGTCTACCTCCATAGAATATTTTCCTACAGAAAGGCTGGGCGACAACAGGTTTTTTTTTTTTGAATCAATGAAAAGCACGATTTATTACAGTATATCTTACGCGTTAAGGTTGTCCTTGAATTGAGCCAAAATATTTTGGTGGAAGTCATAAAATAAACTACATTTTATTATTCGTTTGTGGAAGGAGAACTGAATTTTTTATATTTTGCGTGAGGTAGTCTAATGTATGCCTATTAGTATATGTATTTGAAAGTGCTGGAATATGCAAATATTTATGTAGTAAAGTGCGATTAAGATCCCAACCAACCACAACAAAAATTTGTCTAAGCGAAAAAATCTTATGAAAGCCACCTGATTGAAGCTAGTTAGCATAGCGTGGTATAACAAAGTTTGTTTGTAAATATATATGTATGTATGCTGAATTTGTTTACATTTTAATGGTATCGTATTTCGTGCTGTTCTTCTGAGACATTGCGGAAAGAGTAGGAGATTTGACCTGAATAATGAATTTCGGCTGTAATCAGAACTGAACGAAGGGCTACAAATCACTTATTGATTCAACAAATTCCAACTTTATATCCTTTAACAAGTTTACATATATATGTATACATTCATGTATATATAGATATCTGCGAATCGTGTACTTATTTGTTGCATACAGAATATTTATATTGCTCATGCTACGAATTAGAATATATTTGCAATACCACAAATTTTGGTGTTTTATGGCAAACGCGATAGTAAGCAAATGTTTACATTTACGTCCTATGCCACCACAAAACAGCTTCGGCTTCAACAAGGTCGCCATAATATTGTGAGCAGGTTTATAGCGCTTTGCAATACACTACTAGCTAATTTGAATAAGATAGCGAAGACATTAAGGGGGCAAAAAGAGTTGACTACTCTTTGAGCAGAATAAGTCGTTTAATATTTAGTTTCTCATGATTTATGGGTATATCAATACTTATACATACATCCATAAGCATGTAGATATTTACGAATGTACAAATTTTCAGAATTTATGAGAAAAACCCACAAATATTGACGCAGCCTTACCGCCAAGAAGCGGTTTGCACTTACAAAGAAATTTCTTGTTAAAAAAGAAAATGTAAGTAAAAATGACAGTGCAACAAAAAAAAATCACGAAATACACCCTAAACAAAACTTAGTGTAGTTTGCAGGTAGGGTCGGTAGGGTCGGGTACAACTTGAAAATTGGCTTCTTATAGTCACTTAACCCTCCATTTTGTTTTAATTTAAAAAACGGTTATTTTCGTACTTGATGCCATTGTTATCTATTTACATCTTGACTAGTTTTCACTCGATTTTCAAAATTAAACATGTTTTTAAAGGAGGACTTAGAGGATTTTGAAATTACTTAGATTGTTGGAAGTTTTCATCATCGATAAATTCAAGAAGGGGGTGCCTAAGGAGGCCCGGGGCTGCGTGTGTACCAGGTTTGGTACAGATTGATGAAGTGGTTTTCCAGATAGACGTATTTGACGTAAGTGTACAGTAACATGCCCATTCTTCAAAAGTTGGCGGAATAATTTTTTTTGCTAAATAGGCATTGTATATACCATAAGCTAAGGGTGAAAAGGTGCCAAGTCCATTTTTTGGAATTGTTCAGGAGAGACGAAAAAACGACGTGGTTTCGTAATCCCTGCCATTCTCCATTAAAAATTAAATTTTGAAAAAAAATGCACTTGGCACCTTTCCACCTTTAGGTAGCGATATACATTTTGAGTAAATATTAATAAATTTCTTAGCAACTCTGCGTAAAAATAAAATGTATATATACATAAGGTCCACAAAAAGTGTAAAATGTTAGGCTTACCACTCTAGAATTTTTCTAAATGGAAACCTTTTCTAAATCGAAAAACGAGTACTCATATTTTCTTGTTAAACAAAACAACAGATATTTAGAACTGCCTTAAAGCCCATGAAGTTTTTCTGATCGAAAAATACCGATTTTCAAGAATTCAATACTATTTCTACGTAAAATGTCCTTTTCCCACATAAAATACATGTAAAACTTCATGGGCTTTGAGGCAGTCCTAAGTATATATATATATATATATTTTTTTTTTTTACAAAAAAACAGGTATGTTTTTCCATTTTGAAAAGTCCTAGGGGCGAGAGCTTGATATTTTAAACTTTTTTCACCGCATGTATTTTTGGACTACCCTGGTATACATCCATATAAATTCACGACCATATTTCTACTTAAATTACTCAACTTCTGCAATTTTTATCCGATTTAATTAAATTAGGTAGAAATTTGTTCGAAAATAAATTTACGTTTATATAGAAACTAATTCCTTTAAATCTGATGGTACTGGAACAGACTAATGAGCGCAATGAGAGTGGCATCTCTCTTTGAAAAAGTCACATAGCGAAAAATCAAAATTCTCCAGACTTAGCTGCAGTACTCATGCTATGCGCTGCAGCACAATGCAAGTATAACCAGCGCTTATGAGTACATACATACATACATACATATGTTTAAAAAAAAAATGTTAGGTGGAGACTTTGGTTACAATACTTACCGCCTCTGCATCACCCATTTTTATTCACAATCCACTGATTTATAATGTTAGTTTCAATTATTTATTTATTTGTAATTGTACTGTTTATTTGTTTATTTCTTTACTTGGTTTTTCTATATTGTTTATACTTTTTTATTGAATTTAGAATTATAGTATATTTTTATTCCAGATAAATTGTGCTCATATACAAATTAAGTATCACGAACCTATGTTTCTTCTTATTTTCATTGACTTATTTTTTGTGAAAAAGTATGTCGAGTTACTTGCAGAACTCTTCTTTATGCACAGTTCCCCATCCAATAAAAACTAAGCTATTGCTTTTTCGACCTTTTGCTTAAATTTATTTAAGAAATTTTTAAGAAAAAGGCATTGTTGTAGGCATTTGTGGCGCCAATGCTTTTATAAAATGTATACGCCATAAGTTGTTCAACAATTTTCTAAACAAAATTTAAGTATTTTAAAGGACGACATTAACTGGTTAACAATGCAATATGAATAGCTTTTGTTTCCTATATGCGCCTATAAAAAGTAACGCATATAAATGAAACCAGGTCAGTTGTCGCGATAGTTGCATTTGAAATTCTTTCAAGCGCTCCTAAGCAAAAATAAATACACTAATTCTCATTGCAAGCAAAGGACTCGACCCTCTTCGAATATTTAACCATACAACATAAAACGTGAATTCTTTCGTACTAAAATCGACTTGAGTACCTCCTGATATCAATTACACATATTTAGTCAGAAATAGAATTATGAGAGAGTATATATGTATATATGTATATTAGGGTGGTCCAAAAATAGTAAAGTCGGAATTTTAGTGCCGCCATCTCCAAGGATTGTTCTATATCGAAGAAAATGTACCCCTACTTTCTTTATTTTTAAACAAAAAAATACGGAGTGCCCAAAGCGTTCAAAATTTTCCATGTATTTTATATTGGGAAAAAACAACTTTTCGTATACATGGTATAGAACTGTTGAAAACTAATATTTTTCGGTTGGAAAACTCTGGTTCTCTCCAGGAGACTTCCAATATTAATATCCATTTGTTTATTTAACCATTTTTTAATACTAACATTTTTTTATTATGATTTTGGGTAGCGGCATTAAAATCCCGATTTTACTTTTTCACATGCATTTTTGAACCACCCTAATGTACATAAGTATGCGTACCTATGTACATACATACATTTGTGCAAATGTGCTTGCACTTATGTACATGTGTATAACCATTATTGCTCAATGAGCAACTAAGCCGTCAAGTCATTGCTATATTTGCATATTCTAATGCGCTGGATAACACTTTCAGTATTGTTTGCCCTTTTGGTTTTTAACCTACAAACTTGTATGCAAAACACTTCCTTTCAATTTGCCGTACAAGCGTACGTTCACGTTCTTCTTGGTTGCTGCAGTTCATGTTGACAATAAAGTTGAAAGTTGGTACTATTGAAACTTCAAAAAACTTTGCTATTACTAATTTGCATGCGATTTTCTATTTGCAGTACGGTTCAATAGGAATGCGCAATCACAGCCACTGGCACCGCCGCCGCATACGCCGTGTTGCCTGTGTAGTTTGGCGCGCATAAAACCCTTTTAACGATATCTATGTACATACATACACTCACATGCACTTGAATAGGGACAACGCTTTTTCACTTTTTTTCGCTAACTTTAAACTTAAAAAAAATTCATACAATTTTCTTCGAAATTTCTATTTTTTTTTCTCAGTTACCGAAGGGTCGCCTTTTTTATTTAGAAAAATTTCGGCAGAGCGTCAGTACAAAATTTTCAAAAATCAACGGTAATTTTTAGCATACTCAAAAAATGCTTAAGGCGGAAAAAACTCCATGCAGGAATTTGTGTTCAGAAAAATATTTGAATTAAAATAAAAAAATGTTCTCTCTTTCAGTTTGACAGTAAATATGTTTAATTAATTAAAAACTATTGAGAATTACCGGACATATGTATTGAAATAACGCGGTGAGAGTGAAAAATTTTCTTATTTTGATTAAAATATTTTTCTGAACAGCATGGTACTGTTTTTATCCTGTGTGGAGTTTTTTCCAGGTACATCTACAAATAGAGCCAGATTGACTGTACTATGTATTTCAATTGAAAAATAATGGAAATGAAATAAAAGAAAAATAGTCAAGGAAAAAAGCGAAAAAGCATTGCCCCTATTCAAGTGCTTTGGAGTGTACTACTTATACATATATGGACATTCAAATGGCTTGCACGCTTTAGTGCTTTTACTTGTGTGTGTGTGCTGTGGTTTTCCGTAAGGGTATCTAATACAAGCACAGACGGTTGTGGGGTATGAATAATATCATTTTGCGGTAAAGTTTTCGACGCCATTGTTGCGGCAATCGGCATTTGATTGCTATTGATAGAACTGCGCTGATGGCAAACAGTAGAGTAGTAGGTGGTAGTGCAAGAACATAAAGTTGAGAATCAAACAAAGAAAGAAACTAGAAAATGATTAAAGGATTGCAGAAAAAGCATAGAGGATATTTTAAAAAAGGAATATGTACATTAGGGTGGTCAAAAAATAAAAGTAAAGTTGGATTTTTAATGATCTCATCCTCTAAGATTGTTTTATGCCGAAAAAAATTATACCTGTTTTTTTTTTTGTTTTTTTGTTGAAATCAAAAAACATTTGTCACTCGGAGCGCTCAAAGTTTTCCATGTATTTTATATGGGGAAAAACAGTTTTTCGTAGAAATGGTATAGAATTCTTGTAAATCAGTATTTTTCGATCGGGAAACTTGGCTTCTCTTCAGGAGACTATCAATAATAATACTCAAAGGTTTATTTAACCATTATTTAGTATATATATTTTTAGTAAATGAAAAGAAAAAAATCGCTAGTATAGTATAGCGGTAAAATAAACAAATGGATATTATTTTTTTGATATAGGACAATTCTTTGGTGTGAAATTTCCGGCTTTATCTTTTCACATGCATTTTTGGACCAACCTAAGGCACATATAGTACATATACTAGATATAATGTGAAGTCAGGTAAATATTGCTAGAGGTAGATATCTAGCTGTTAATGTATTTGTAATAGCGTAATGCCTGAGGGTACTACGCTAACTTTACCTTACTGGACGAGATATTAAAATGCTGACTTCCCTAAGGCAAAGTACTAGCTTAACCCTATGCTTCCAAAACTACACTGGGTGTGGATGTGAACTGCGTACCGAAATTGTTACGAAAGTTTGTTGATTTTTTTCCACATAGTTTGAAATTTAAATTCATTCGGTCTTTGTTAAAGAATAAACTATATTTTTATGAAAAAAAAACTAAACTTAATTAAGAAAATTATAAATTACTAAAACTTGTCAATATATGGCGCGCTTGTCCATATGATACGGGTTGTAGTTTTCAGCAAAATGATAGAATGGTTAAAATAAATGTCTGAGCGAAACTTAAGGTTAAGATAGATATTGAAATTGCATGAGAAATATTTTCATAGAACATTTTAACCCATCACCTCCCGGCTAAACGGGTCCGCTCGACCCTTACTATAAGAAACCCTTAAAAAAATAAATTTGGAAGGTCGTTAGAGGGTTTAAATGTTTTACAGATTTATTTTTCGGGGAGGAATTTTATTATAGGTCTTCTCAGGCAAATTCAACAGGTCACCAACGCAAAGGTGTCTGAAAAATAAAATTTAAAGATGAATTTTAAAATATGTTGTGCATGGAAAAAATTCAAGTTTTTTCGCTGCTTCAGAAATACTATAGATACTAAGCACAAATAAAATAAAAATCAATGTTTTTGATCGACGATCGTCAAATTATTTCTGTTTTCTATGAATTCAAAAAATTTTGTTCAAGCGACGTTAAGATTCTTGTTCTTATTTTCTAATTTGCAGCTGTATCCAACGTTGCCGTTTCGCTTAGATGCTGCTTCATAAATACTATAGATACTAAGCACACAGTTTTCATTACAAAAGGCCTAAATTTCAATACATAAAAAAAAATATTGAACGAATTGAAAAAAATTTAAAAGAAGAAAAAACTGCTCTCCTGTTAAATTTGGTTTCTGGCACATAGGATAATTTCGCGCAAAGGGCGAGAGATATAAATTTTTATCAGTACTCCGCGTTTATATTTCGGAATTAAAAATTAGTAGTTTTATAACAATAACTGATATGCTTTTAATTGAATATAATTGCGATAACCCAAAAAAAATGCATTGCTGTTTAGAAATTTTGTTAAAGGTTATTAATAAACAAATAAATAAAATAAACCAATTTGTCAAAGAAAAGGTTAAAATATTTGCATAGGTTACGAAATGAGACACCGTGCATTGAGAAATTACTGCATTGGGAATTCCTTTACGGCACTTTTCAATTATAGAGCGTGGTAGTAGACGAGAGTAAGCAACAAAATGTAAAAGAAAATTCTAACAATTTGAAATAAAAAGTTATTTGTGGCTGCATTCACACTTCCTCTTACTTCGCTTGTGTTCCTTAAAATAATTTCTAAAACTTTTTTTAAAAATGCCTTTTACTTATTAGGCTCAAATGCACATAAGTAAAGCCATTTGTTTATAAATAAGTATCCTTCAATGCAGCTGTAAGATTCTAAATTGCTTAAATTGCTATTTTATTGATTTTTCATACGTCCACAGCAGGGCATTAACACCTGACGCCAGCAAGGATAATGCACTTTAACCCACTGAAGGGTCAGTCTGCACTTATAACAAACTATTTTCAACAGACAACAGCTTCACCTATTTCGATAGACACGCGATTTGTAGAACGAGAATTTTAACGGCAATCCCTTTATGCGTTGTTATTTGCTTTGACTTTAAATGTTTTTTTTTTATTCTTTTAAACTTTAACTCACTAAAACACTCACAAAAGCCACAAAAATGTACTAACAATAAAACAAAGTTTGAAAATAGTTTAGTTCACTCGCCAAAGAGTACAAATTTCGGTAAGCCAACAAACAACTGTTAAACGCGAACGCTCCAACACGACTATTCGTTCGATTGCTAAAGGAATGGAATTTCTTAGAAATTTGTTTTGATTTTTTCGTTTGCTATTCAAGCCGCTCGAAGTCAGACGAAAAAGAAGCAAACAAACACAAATGTCCTACTTCTCCT